CCTCCCATCGCATGCACACACATGGTGATGTCATGCATCCATAGTTGTACAGTGCACACCGTCCGAGCTGTGACACTGTGTGCAGCGAAAGCTGGGTAATAAGATATCTGATTGTTGGGAAATGACATAAAAAGAAGAATGACGCGCTGGCTGGCACCTCATCAAGTTCTGTACTATGGTCTAGGTAAAACAGCAGGAGGAGTATAGCCAAACCTCTTTAGGACGAACCCCCAAGGGCAAGGGGCTGATGATATGTGTTTGCAATACCGGGAGTTCTTCTTATCCATATGTTATACCTAGTGAATACGCAGTGATTTATCCAATAGAGTTATGAACACTAGTTCTTCTAAAGCAAAAGTTTGTCTTATCATTGTTCTTATTAACCAGGTTTCACTGTAGTAACAGGATCGGCGGAAGCAGTTTTTGATTGGTCCGCCCATACCCTACCTAGCCTTGCATACATTGTGAATGTTATGGAGGGTATACAGTACATACACATGACCTCCAAACGCTGGTGGCTAAAAAGTTGGTCCGGCCATGGCCTGACTGTGATCCTTGGCAGCACACAGCTGAGTGTCTGGTCTTACCTGAGTGGGGTTGATAGAACATGTACATGTAGGTCGTTGGGTGCCGCCAGGTCCACGGCACTCACCTCCATCCGCTCACCCACACCAGGCAAGCGCATGTTGGCATACTCGCACACTGTCTGCTCCGGCTGTGCACGGCGAAAAAGCACACGCAGCATCTAAATCTCTATTCTGCCACCGAGATCTCATTTAAAGGGGAACTGTCACCAAAAATTTTCTTTGTCTTATCTTGTAGCTCTTTGGCTCCTGATCACGATGGTGTTATTCGTTTTTCTCTGCGATGACTAGAAGTGGGTGAAAACTTGAAAAGAAGGTGTCCAAAATTGTCCCGAAGTACCGAGTGACGTCACGCCGGACTTGACCTCCACGCGTACTTTCATCGTCAAAAACGAAGTCCAGCCTGTGTGCTCGTCGATCGAGCCAACTGTTCGATGTACGGTGCACGCTTGCCTTCTGAACTCGGACACTCGATGTGTACTTTGTACACAATGAGAACGCCAAAAAGGGACAAAATAAACAAAAGTCGACTGCAGTTTGTCGCACTGGTACTTCCTCCACGAAGCTCCAGCTCTTTGTTTTATTTGTGATTACGAAGGAGTGGAAGGATGTTTGTTTGCTGTTAGTGTGACACACATACCTCGTACTTGAAAATGATGTCGTTGTATCGAAGGTGGCGATGTTGCCCATCCGGCTCTGAAATGAAAGACATCGGAGTTCGTCATCTGCATCTTGAGCAACATCGCCAGATGAATCGCCTTCACGTAACTACATTGCGTTCCTTTGGGGCTCGGGTTGGTGGTGTTATCGCCGGCCGGAGGAGAACTGTTTTCTGCATACGCACTCATCATCGTGTTGTTCCTCACACGAAAAGTTCAAAACAACGACGTACTTCCGTGCTCACAAAATAAAACTTAGATCCTCGCGGAAGAAGTCAAAAAGGTGAAAGCTCAGCTGCTTTTTATTTTGATTTGGCTGTGTAGCTGCACGTGGGTCTCTGCCTCTTTGGCATTCTCCTTCGGTACGACGTACCCATCTGTGTTACAGTTCAAAAGGCACACGTGCACCGTAGATTGGAACAGCTAGCTCGATCGACGAGCACACTGGCTGGATTTCGTTTTTGACGACGAATGTACGCGTGGAGGTCAAGTCCGGCGTGACGTCACTCGGTACTTCGGGACAATTTTGGGCACCTTCTTTTCAAGTTTTCACCCACTTCCAGCCATCGCAGAGAAAAACGGATAACACCATCGTGATCAGGAGCCAAAGAACTACAAGATAAGACAAAGAATTTTTTTGGTGACAGTTCCCCTTTAAGTCTGTATGTAGCCACGTGCCTGAATGAAAGCTACACACTGAGCCTTCCCCTAATGTGCCATTCCCTCTTCTTGTGCAACACAGATGTGCATGTACAATGATAAAATAAGACTGTCCAGCACTAGTACATGTATTAACCAGCAAGGTACATGTACATGTATCACAACACACGCACGTGCAACATAGAGGTAGCAGCAACACTAGATGCAGGGTGCATTCGGCTCACCTCTGCTTGCTGCCTGGAGAAGTGTTGATCAGTGAGTGAGGCTGCTGACGTGGCTCTCCCTGACATGAACACCGGACTGTCAGCAGCGACACTACGATCAGCAGCTGCTGCTGCCCGGGGTGCTGTTCTCTCCTCGTCGATACTTGCCAGGGTAGAACTACGCCAGTTGCCTTCAATCGAAGCACCAGTGCTGGTGCGACGGTTGGGTGGCACGTAGCGTGCCACTGGCTTTGCTTCTGCCGCTGGTGGCTCGGCGGATGCAGATGATGGCTGGCTAACTAATGAGTGCTCCTGTTCTGCTGCTTCCTCGGCCACTGATACATCGCAACACCAGGCGTACACAAGGCCAACGGCATAGAGTACACCCACACCCATACATACACACACACACCCATGGATGCACACACACACACACACACGCACGCACGCACGCGAACACACACACACACATGCAGGATGCACCCAGTCAAGCCAGAGTACTGTAAAAGCCATATATATAACGAAGTGCTAACTCTAACGAGTTAACGAGGAGAAATCTGTCGTTAAAATAGAAATCGTTATACAGAAATCGATACATTTACTGTCCTATTTGAGCGTTGAGAATGAGTGAGAATCGTTACCTTTGGTACACGTAAACTAGTCAATTTTGGGAAATCGTTATATATGCGCCTCGTTAGAATAATGGCTTTTACAGTAGTTCAGCACAGAGCAGTGCTTGGAGAACAAGTAACATTGCAGTAACAACACAGCATGCAGCACAAGTTCAAAACACGTACCACACTCACATGATAAGAAGCCGGTCCCCTTTATTTTTCAATTTCCATTTAGATGGGCTTCTATTCAAGAGCAGCTCATTTCAATACCTTCACATCTGTATTCCAATCACAATGCACCTTCACACTTGTACAGTAGGTATCGGTTATAGCGTGGGTGTTTGAAAAACGACTTTCTATTCTTATTTCCGATATTTCTTACACACGATAAATCAAGTGTGACATATCATGTGCATGTGCGCAGAGGCAGGAAGATCATCGTACATATAAGGTAGTGCTGCTGTGCATGCGGCTGGTCACAGTCACATAGGCTTACCATGTGGCTATGCAACATGAGTTACATGACCACAATAGTTGAACCTGCAGCACTAGGACCCCACGCGAGTCAGATCAGAACTGCTTTGGACGGATGTTATTACTGCAGGCGATATACTTTGTACTGATCTGGCATATTTCGCTACACAAAGTCCATTCTTAGGACCGATATGTTCTACTGTACGATAAAATTGCTTGTAAGAATAAACTTGAAATCCATGTTATGATTAGGAAAACATGAGAGTTCATTCTTGTAGGCAGTATATTCTTTTACACGACCACGCTATAACCGATACGCACTGTATTCCCATCACTATGTCATACGGACAACTGTGGTTGAACTATGTGAACTGAACAACTGGTTGAGCTATGTGAACACAGGGGCGGATCCACAGATCTCTGCAGGGGGGTTCCAGTTTAGCCAAATCTGACGAGCTGATACATGTACATGTACATGCATATGGTTTTCAGCAGTCCATGTGAGAAACTTTGGGGGTCCCGCGGATTCCCTGGATCCAGGGTTTCTGACCGACAGGCGTCTATACTTAAGAGAGCATGTCTGAGAATACCAAAGTATGTGTGCAAGTGGATCTCTCCGATTTCGCTCAAAATTTGCAGGTAGGTTCCCTTTGGGGTGTGGATCGCTCGTGCAAAGCCCTTGAAAAAGTTTCTGAAGGGAACCTTGAAATTTGCATACCCCTCAAAAATGGCCGAAATATCACATTATTTATGGGTCTAGAAACGAGTCACGCCACAGCGTATACGAACAAGCTATGAACAAAACTCCATCAAGCCAACATTGCCTCACCTTAGAAGAGTTCCTGGAGCAGTACCGCTTAGCCACGCCAGCATCCCAGAAGACGAGGTCCATCACCCCCTGACGCCACAAATGATCGTCTTGAAAATAGCCAATTTACAAGCGCTGGCAAAACAGCCAGCTACGTCCTCAATTGGCCAGAACTATACACCGGCAGATAGTTGAACACCTCTTCTAGCGCTAAGGACATGTCCCCCATCTTCCTTTTGGGGTTTTCTTGAAATAAACTTTTTTGAATTTTTCCACTCGACCATGCTGAAATACGGCCAAAGTCATACCTGCGCAGGAAAGCTCGCCCCTCCGCGACGTCTCCTCAGCAATTTCTACTCCAACACTACTCCCAAGGCCGCAGAACAAAGTGTAGTGTCGACTCTGACAAGGAAAAGCAGCGGTGATCACTTGTCACTCCAAACGACAAGCTTCTCCTTGCGCCACCAATACATTTTTCTGCGACTGTTGATGCAAAAGTGACTGAAGGCCTGAGCGCAGTTTTTGAATCTTATTGCAAGATGCACGATGAGATCGCGTGCTCTGTGACGTAGGATGACGCTTCCTGCATCACGATACGCGGCCATCGATCGCGAATGTGCCTGGAACGCTACTCGGAACAGACCATGATGGCAGAGGTAAGATGAGCTTCATTTCCTGCTTGAACTGCTGAGAACCCCCACAAACTGTCCTAGGAGTGTTGCAATGGCAGCAAGCCGTTGAAATATGCCCCTCGTACAGCATGGAGAGTTATTCGTCTTTCACACTTACCTCCTGCAATCCCGAATATAGTCCAACAGTAAAGTCCCTTGTTTTCATGTCGATGCTCGACAAAAGCGGCTAGCTCGGTCCCTTTGTGTTGACTGGCACGCGAGTAGCACTGGCTGCACGCACTTGTTGCGTGAACTGCATGAGAGATTTCTTACGTCATAAAGAATGTGATTTCATCATCATTTCACTGGTCTTCGACCTACATGGTCAGGGAAAGTCCCGGTTCGTAGGCCTACAACACGGTCAGCGTGTTCTTGAGCGCAGTAACAACACAAGTGTGATCACTTCCAGACCAACGGGCGTTCAAGGCGAGTAACAAGCGCACTTGACAAAGGTGACTCTGAAATCTCGTGAGCCGTGATCCACGCGACTTGGCATTCTTGCGTCACAAGGCACGTGATTTCACCGTGCATCTTGCAATAAAATTCAAAAACTGCGCTCAGGCCTTCAGTCACTTTTGCATCAACAGTCGCACAAAAATTTATTGGTGGCGCAAGGAGAAGCTTGTCGTTTGGAGTGACAAGTGATCACCGCTGCTTTTCCTTGTCAGAGTCAACACTACACTTTGTTCTGCGGCCTTGGGAGTAGTGTTGGAGTAGAAATTGCTGAGGAGACGTCGCGGAGGGGCGAGCTTTCCTGCGCAGGTATGACTTTGGCCGTATTTCAGCATGGTCGAGTGGAAAAATTCAAAAAAGTTTATTTCAAGAAAACCCCAAAAGGAAGATGGGGGACATGTCCTCAGCGCTAGAAGAGGTGTTCTACTATCTGCCGGTGTATAGTTCTGGCCAATTGAGGACGTAGCTGGCTGTTTTGCCAGCGCTTGTAAATTGGCTATTTTCAAGACGATCATTTGTGGCGTCAGGGGGTGATGGACCTCGTCTTCTGGGATGCTGGCGTGGCTAAGCGGTACTGCTCCAGGAACTCTTCTAAGGTGAGGCAATGTTGGCTTGATGGAGTTTTGTTCATAGCTTGTTCGTATACGCTGTGGCGTGACTCGTTTCTAGACCCATAAATAATGTGATATTTCGGCCATTTTTGAGGGGTATGCAAATTTCAAGGTTCCCTTCAGAAACTTTTTCAAGGGCTTTGCACGAGCGATCCACACCCCAAAGGGAACCTACCTGCAAATTTTGAGCGAAATCGGAGAGATCCACTTGCACACATACTTTGGTATTCTCAGACATGCTCTCTTAAGTTTTTTGGTCGTATTCTAAGGTCTGTGTGTGTGTGTGGGGGGGGGGGGGGGATGCATTCAAGAGGAATTTCCAATTGAGTGAGCACGATACGAGCTGAGGATAGACTCCAAAAAGGAGCAAATCGGAACAATACACGTGATTGAAGCAAAGCTCTACTTACTTCTGGCTAGCGTCGCTGCCCTGACATCTTCACCAGAACGCAACTTCATTAACACAGACAACGGAGCACCTTCCACTACGTTTCCAACATCCTAGACAAAAAGAAAAATGGCAAACATCAACAACATGTAGCATCAGACAATACTACGCCACTAGTAGGAATGATGGTCTACTTTGAGTACTTTCCACAAATCCCTGCCTTCACTCACTGTCCTGCCACCAAATGTAGGAATGGCAAAGCATAGTCAAATCAAAGTACTATCCACTACTTGAAGTGTTCAGTTTGCAAAGTAGACTACTGCCTGTTACATTTCCCATGGCTGTGCACATGAAGGGAAAAGCACTTTCACACACGAAAGCCAACATTGGTGCAGTACTCCCACCCTCACGCACACACATGCACACACATGCACATGCACACATGCACGCACACACACACACGCGCGCACATGCACACACGCACGCACGCACGCACCCACATACACACACACATGCACACAAACTCACCTGTCTGACCACAGTGCATTGCTTGAATAACACTCCACCACGTAGCGCTGCTAGCTCATCAGCCGATAGATCTTGCGCATTCTGAGCATGAAGTAAGTGTGCACGTAATACTCATTCTCAATGATCATTTATAATTCAAGGAACCTAAAAAAGGCCCTAAGCCTAATTTAATGGCAGAAAAGTGGTCCCAGCCATACCAATTGCCTCGGTTCGCATAGCATCAACCAGCAAACTCCATGGAGAGGCATCGGTACCTGAGAAGACCGCCAAGCAAGTGGAGGTTGTAGAGTTGTACTGGAGCTCGGGCTCAGAAGATTAGTGGTTTAAGGCGACAGTCCTGACTGTGCCTTCTGGACAGGAGCTGACTCGATCAGCCCATCACCGCCGCCCTGTAGCTTAAAGGGGAAGTTAAGGCAAAAATTAAAATTTCACCAGTTGTAGTCTTCGGGGTGCTGAGTCGAATGGTCGTGGTCCGAGGAAGCTGAGACGCTCCCTTCCTACTTGAATCCCAATCGAACTCGCGCACTTCCACCGAAACTGGGTGACTGCGCCCTACTAGATGGGGATTTGTATGCAAAATGTCACTAAAAGCGCCGTTTCGTTCTTATAAAAGCACGGATGACCGCGATTGGCCCATATGTTGTAGTCTTTTGGACGCTGAGTCGACTGGTTTTGGTCCGAAAAGGCTGCGATGCAGCGTTCCTCCTTTATTCCCAATCGAACATGGTTGAACAAGCGGTCACGTGCTCCTGGGTGCCCAAATCACCTGGTCACCACGCCAGCAGGCGACAACTTTCACACCAAGGTTCAACTCGAGTTCAACTCGAGTGACAGGATTGCACCCAAAAAAGGTCAAACAGGCTAGTAAGTTGTACCCTGCAGGCACGGGTACCAGGTGACTGGCGTACGCAGGAGCACGTGACCGCTTGTTCAACCATGTTCGATTGGGAATAAAGGCGGAACGCTGCATCGCAGCCTTTTCGGACCAAAACCAATCGACTCAGCGTCCAAAAGACTACAACATATGGGCCAATCGCGGTCATCCATGCTTCTATAAGAACGAAATGGCGCTTTTAGTGACATTTTGCATACAAATCCCCATCTAGTAGGGCGCAGTCACCCAGTTTCGGTGGAAGTGCGCGAGTTCGATTGGGATTCAAGTAGGAAGGGAGCGTCTCAGCTTCCTCGGACCACGACCATTCGACTCAGCACCCCGAAGACTACAACTGGTGAAATTTTAATTTTTGCCTTAACTTCCCCTTTAAGTAACTACGGTATTCCGTAGCAGCAGCAGCAGCAGGTCTTTGCTAGCATGTTCACAGTCACAGTTCAGCACGCAGGAACACTGCGTGACATGATGGAGCAGGATTGAACGGCTGTGCTTACCTGTAAAGTCGCGTATGAAGGCCGGGCTTATTCCCAGAAAAGCTGATCTCCTGTCCGGCCTAGACTTCTGCTCAAATCAGGTTTTTATTTTCAATCAGGTATTTCTATGTGTGTCAACACTAAAGCCAGGCTTGTACTCAAAACCGGCTTCTATCATGTGAAGACAGGTTTTTATACAAGACAGTATGGTCGATGTTGACGTTCTTCCAAGACACTAAAGAGTAGTGGGCAAGCTCCTACTGAAATCTGACCTGCATCTGCCCTGAAGTGTTGCCAAGCCACGTTACCTCAGCCACACTGGATCACTATACGTCCATTCGCAGCCAGTGGTGTACTCCCACTGAACATGCTGCAGCCTGCAAGCAGCCGACCCTAGTTCACATAGCAGCGACGGCAGTAGTAGTCAACCTGCTCCCCAATGAACGCCTCCAAATGCAGCCACAACGTAACGTCGGACACATGCCAGAGCTTTTAAGAAATCTCGTTGTTAACCTTTTGAGCACGACGCTACCTGAATGCCGCCCCACGTCAACACCTGCAAAAATCGCGTTTTCCTATGAAAGTAGTAGCTGTTCAAGGATCGATAACTTTACCTTTCTTTGGGCGAATTCCACGATCTTGAGCTTCCTGCAAAGGTCTTGAGGCGAGGAACAAAATAGTTCCAAGCTGAGCTTGGAGCGACACCAAAAGCCCATGCTACAGTCTGGCAAACTTCACGCACGCGCTCGACAGACTTGAGCACGGCCAGGAGATCAAATCCTCAGCTGCCATTTCACTCTCCTTGCTCGTATCGAGCTCAAATTTTTTTGAGGACTCCTCAGATCCGCTGCCATCATTTGAATCTAGTTTCCATGGCAGCAGATAGCCCGAAAATGATCGAAAATGGAAAACACGCGTTCTGCAGAGTTCGCAAAAAAATCGATTTGAATTTCGAGTCGCAAATCTCAACAACCCGGGGTCGTATCGCTTCGGCGATTGTTTCTATCGCAAGCTGAGAGTTTTCTCTTGCAGATACATATTAAGATCGTGAGAATCGGCCAAGAATTGACCGAGTTACGATAGTTTGAACTCACGCGGTTCATGCAAATCGCTTTTGTACGCTATGTACACTCACGACGTAATAATACGTCATGCGTGGGTGCAGTGACACTGTACGTGACGTATTAATACGTCATGCGTGCTCAAAGGGTTAAACAGTCTCACACCCACATGGGCAATGCTCATCTTCGATGTTGGACCCATACCGCTGGAACGCTACAACTAACTTGCTATTCCTGTACTCCTGCAGAGGTGGATACAGGGTGTACGCGGGCCCCCATATTCAGCATTGAGTAAATGAAGACTAGGGCTCAAACGAGTACAACGAGTACTCGAGTACCCACTCGCTTAGTGCTCAGCTCAAATTCAAACGAGTACTCGATGCTCGGCAGTGCACGGTACACTGTATAGAAAAATAATTGAGTAAATAGAGACACACACTGCTAGACTACTTCAATGGTTTTAACACAGCAATGCGTAGTCAAGCAAGCAGAGTTTGTTCACGCATCCTCAACCAGATTGAAGAAGATCAAAAAGCCTCTCACCGCCAGTGTACAAGCAATGGCCTGTGCAGGGAGGATTGGTTCGAAAGACTCGTCTATGAACTCCAGTATGCTGACAATTTCAAACCTGCCGTGGTCCACCAGCCACACCTACAGAACATTCACCAGCAACAGAAGCACAGGAAACAGCAGCAGCAAAGGCAACAGCAGCAGCAGCAGCAACAGCAGCACGCATACCGGGTTCATTACCCTGCTCCAGTACACACAAACATTTTGATTCAGCCACTCAGGCCATCTTCAGACAATACTAGAATTCCACAAGCATTGCCAACCTGACCTAGTGCTGAACTGAAAACCTACATCATAAGCTGCTATACTGTAGTGGTCGGTGGTCCCATGCACCATACCTTGATCTTCAAGTCGGGCAAGATTTCCACAACGCTACAGCGGTGCCAGAATGGATTTTGGGCGTCGGCCAATGCACAGCCGCACTGTCCCTTCCAGCAGCGCTGTGGTACAGCCTTCTTGTGCAATTCAGCCATCCGTACTTGTAACTTTTCTGACATCTGATGGAGAGGACTGATTACGGCGCCTACAACAGCACGCGGGTACACATGTACACAGACAAGGCCACGTGGCAGAAATATTAATCGGAGAGGAAGAAAAGGGGAAGGCCGATCACGTTCCAGTTCAACACCAGCTTTGCACTGGGTTAATTGGAGAGGAAGAAAAGGAAGGCTGATCACGTTCCAGTTCAACACCAGTTTAGCACTGGCCTGTGAGATAGCAGGTGTGCTATACAGCTGTACAGTCATGTACTTGTATCGCCAAAGGCACTACTGTCACTAACACTGGCATTGACACTGCTGCTGCTGTATCAACTAGTGTGCATAGACTATGCGCACGGCAGCAGCAGCAGCAGCAACGTGTACCAGTCCTGGAAATCGCCTAGTCAGGACATGCGTAGACGTGTACAGTGCGTATGTGAGTACTCGTACGCGAATACCGAATACCCAACGGAAGCCTGGCCATGTGATGAGAATCGTGATGTTTGAAGGGAACACGTGGCGCCAAGGGGAGTTGCACCGTTTCTCAACGCGTCTGGTTACAAATTATTAACCACTTTTCAAATACCTCGTCCATGTTTGTTTCTTTTCATTTGAGGCCCGTGGAGTTGCAATGGGGAAAGGAAGGCCAGTGTAGTTTGACATGCGTACAATGAAGTAGTAATGTTACTACATGCAGCATGACCATTATCAGTGGTGCTAGGGACTTGATTACCCGGGGATTAGGGGTGAAACAATTATACCGAGTACTCGAGTACTCGCTCGGTTTTTTCAAAAATAACCGTACTCGGAATAAATCAGAGTACTCGTTCATACAGGGTACATGCATTTACTACAGAAATCTGCAGTTTCAGGGCAGCAGTCGGCAGATGGTGATGTGCAGACTGTGTGGTGAACATTTGTTCACGAGTAGAGAGAGCCCAAATGACCCACCACCCAATATACCCGAGAAAAATGACTGCTACTCGGTTCAATCAGGGTTGTATCATGTTATTTTTAAAGCTCTTGGTGTGCAATTTTTAGGAGATGAAAAATACTCGAATACTCGAATATTCGATCGGAGATAATCAGAGTACTCGAACTCGGGATCTCAGTGCCAACTTTCACCCCTACCGGGGATACACGCTAGATCTCACCTGAAGGTATTTCATATCCGTACAGGTGTCCACAGTCGTCGACACAAGTTACGCGCATGGAGAACTCGGCATCCGGTGGTGGCTGGAACGCGCTGTACGGATGCAGCGGTACAGTGGCGGGCAAGTCGGACACCTCTTTCAGCACACCTCCCAGGACCAGCAGGTCACTGAGGCTGTGTTCAGCCGGTAGATTGGCGTCGTGACTCAGCAGGAGATCGACGGGAAGAACGCCGCGCTCCCGATCGTACTCACCGAGCATCAGCAAGTCGAAGAACACAGAGTCGGCAACTACGTCCGCCATTTCGTCGCATGCCCTCACCTTGCCCTCAGTGTCCGTGTCATCTGGTGCTTCAAGACGTGCCAGTGAACAGCATATTGCCTGTGGCGGCAGTACAGCTAAGTCCTTGGGAAGAGGCAGCAGGCTGCCAACAGACAAGGTTTCCTCGTTACCATAGTCGACAAAGTAGATCTGAAACACACAGGCACCAGCAAAAGAGCACAAGTACTTCAAATCCATGTCCAAGTAGGCTACTACATGTACTGCTAAATAAAGCAGATTGAACGGTGCAAACTGCAAACACTGCATGCATGAGCCGAGCGCCAATTGTTTCCCCAGCACGGATACATGTATAAATAGTTACAGTGTACTCAATCTGCGGACAGTTTGTTTTTTAGTAACAGTTACAGTGTATATATAGGGCTTGAAAGTGCTACGTCACAGCCAGGATGGAGTCACTACAACGCTGACTTTCGGACCCACTTGGATGCAGTTCTCGTATGGATCCACGGCACGTTTGGGTGGCTTCGTTCACTGCCTCCGCCGGTAGTGAGTGCACTGGGCCCTCCTGGCCAGGGACCCACTGCTGGACCCGAAGACAAGTCACACTAGCATGCGACACGAGGAACCCGTGTTGCAAAAGAAGGATCCACGAGCGGGGTTCGAACCCAGCACCCCTGCCTTTTCGGGACAGTGCCCTACCGATTAGGCTACCGGGGATCACACACACTAATGGGTCCTTCTTGCGACACCGACCCATTATAATACTCTACTTCACTATGGTCACAGTGCATCCAATTGGGCCCAGAAGTCATTATTTACTGGCTTCTGGCGCCACCACTTTCAAGCCCTATAGCTGGTATATGTACTGCTATCATGCATTACCGGCAAGAGTACATAACCCCCCAGAGTGTGCAACTCCACTATGGGTGCTGTCCCGACAGAATTTCAAGTTGACGTCATTTTGATGATGCAATGCGGACTGTACACGGATTATCAGACGAATCCGGAACCTATGGTTGACCGAAGCCGATCGATCCTGTACAAATTATTGCAAAGAAAAACGTGTGATGCGTTGACACCCGTACACATGTTGTAAATCACTGGTGCAAGGAGCTTTGCGTCATAATTAATGACGTCAACTTGAAATTCTGTCGGGACAGCAGGGTATGTGGGAGTTGCACACTCCGGGGGGGGGTATGTACTCTTGATTACCGGTAGTCGATGCACTTGGTACCTGTATACCGTAGTGTCTTGGATTAAAGCCTATCTGATATAGAAGCCTGTTTTGAATAGAAGCCTGATTTTCAAGATACACTGTCGGCACATAAGCCTGATTCTAGTGATGACATACATAGAAACACCTGATGTGAATTTAAGCCTAGCCGTGGCATCGGCTTCCACAGGAATAAGCCCGGCTGGTAATAACGGAATATCCAATAGCAGCCCGTATCGGCTATACGCCCACCCAGTGTAACGCCTGCTACCTGTGTTTGTTCCCATTGTTATAGCCCACGTCCATGTGAACACACACAGGTGAAAGCACACACCCAGTACACGGTTCCATTGTTACTGTAGAACGGGTAATTGTAGCGACTAATAATTTTAGCGTTTTCCCATTGTGAACCGGTTAGCGACGTTTTATTTCAGCGATTTGCAGCGATTTTACTCACGGATCACCAGTGAACTACTAATGTCTCAACGGATTGGCGACTTGAAACTTTAGCGAAAATGAGTCGATCGCTAAATTCGCTAAGGTTTTTACGTCGCTAAAATTACCCGTTCTACAGTATAGCCCACGTCCATGCGAACACTCACCACGGGTGAAAGCACACACCCAGTACCACAATACAGTGCATGCATAGCTCCGCGTGCGTGTGGTAGCATAGTGTTAGTTGTCCATAGTCCCTAGTGGTCGACGAATATGTTGGTGTGAAATTTAGTCTAATTTTACGTACAGCGAATCCTCAATAACACCCGGGCCCAAGTTAACACCTCGCCAAGCGTAGGTGGCCGTCACCCATAGCAAGTTGACATTCACAGCCGAGGTGCGGCCGCTTGTCATGCACGGCTTTTGTCGGTGCATGAAAAAAGCGGTTCCTCATGGCAGGTGGTGGTTACATACATGAAAGGTTTCTTACGGCAGATTTGCCTGTAAGTTAAGTGTTGTGAAACCGGAATATTCTTTAAGTTTTCTGATCATCATAATTTTAGATTACAGTATGGTTACACAACAATCCATAAGGAATACTTCCCCCCCCCCCCTCCCCCCTGCAATCCTTTCTTCATACGTTTCGTCCTAGCTGCTGCAGACCGACTCACCTGTGCATTTCTCCCTTGCACGGACATGACCTGGCCACGATACCATGCACCAGTTCCAGTCTCTGCATCCTCGTAGAAGGCGCTACATAGGTGTGTAGGCTTCCAGCCAGCGGGGCTTGGACACACAGCTGCTATCCGATCGGCCAGCTGGTTCAGCAGCTCCGTAACCCTACACGGAGAAATACGCAGGAAGAACACAACTAGCTGCATACTCACGCCCACATAACTTATAACAACGAGACGTACCAGAACAAAATGTTCAGGAAAATGCAGGTGGGAAGGTGACAACAGGGAGAGAAGGTAATACTCAACAAATCCACATCATAACGTATATTGTGTTGAAATTACTCACTGTTCTAATCTGTCGAGTTCTTCAGTTTTGAGCTGCACGTAAAACTGATGTGGGCAGTAGAGGTAGCAAGCATTGGCAGCTGTTGTTGGCAGGACACAATGGTCGGCATCAATCAGAGAGCGACCAAACTCCCTCGCCCACTGCGACACGGGAAGGGATGGGCGCGGTTGCTCGTGCAGGTGTGCTTCCAAGTTGCGTGACAACTGCATTGCTTCGTGGCGTCGACGCAGCTCGTCCAAGGGGGGTCCTGGGGTGTCCCTGGGTATTGTGTCGCCCTTCTCGACCTGACCGACTTGGACGGAGCTTTGCACTGAGCCAGTGTGTCCGGGTGTCTTAACATGTGTGGGTGACACGGCATGCCGACCTTGCAATGAAGGTACACTCGATGGTACATTGGGAGTAGCAGTGGTGCCATTACCTGCATGCATAGAACCATGGGAAGGGAGACCGGATGTGGATACTGCCGCTGCTGATATCTGTTGTAGTGATGCTGCTCCTGGTGCCACTGTCGGTGGCTGCGCAGCTACATGGACAGAGCTAGCACCGACAAAAGCTGGGGCTGGGGCTACTGCTGCTGATACTGTTGCAAGTGGCGGTCTTTCTGATGGTGTTGCAGAGTGCAATGTGGAGTGTGCTGAAGACTGTACTGCTGACTGCACTGGCATACCTGCAGCAGGCTCGAGTGACGCTGCATGACTGCTAGGAGGCATGGCCACCACAGGAACGTCCTGCGTGTGAGCCGATTTCTCTGCCATGGTGTTGTGCCTAAGAGTTGAACAGACAAGGAAAAGCAGATACACGTACACGTACACGAACACGAACACACAAACACGAACACACAACACACACACACACACACACACACACACACACACACAAGAGTAGCACAAAAAAGTAAACAACAAGTCAACAAGATCACATGTACACACACACACACACCACTTCAGCAGAACAATAGTCACCTACAAATCAAACTCTTCCCCGACACATTGGATCTTAGCAGAGCCTTGCTGACGTCTCCTCCAAGCACTATACAGCTACATACACTAACACTACAGTTTGCCAAGAAAATACCGGTACTTCCGGTCCTCAAGTATTTGGCTTTCCGAAAGAAGATGAAAGAGACTCGACTCTCTGGCTTTCCAATAGATGACAGAGAAACTTCTCTTTTGACTAGCAAACTACAGATGTACAGTTGAAGTATGAAAACAAGATGCAGGCAAACAACGCTTGGCTACACAAGGGAATATTCGATGGGGCGACTATCCTGAGTATTCATTCCAGCTGACAGTCGTGCAGCACACGTAGACTAGATCAAGTACAACATCAGATCGCAGCATGCATGCATGCAAGCGCACGCACACACACACACACACACACACACACACACACACACACACACGCACAGCAGGAGAGCGATGCAGGACTATCCTAGGGTGAATACAGCGGAGTGGCGCAGACAGACGGCATTGCCTTGCGCCTTCGAAGTATGGTTTCTGCACACACTCACTCTTGCCACAAATTATAACAACTACCCCCCCCCCCCCACACACACACGTACTACTACAGATTATACTGCTGTTTGCAACAAGGTGCACACACCAAAACTCACATGCCAGCAACAGCGAGGCCTTTTTCCACTAGCATCTGGGTAGGATAGAAGTCTTTGTCTTCACACTGCGAAGTGTCGATCAACAAGACCGGATAACCGCGGTCCGTTGTTCGACTACCTGTGAGCAGCACATGCAGAGAAGAGTTGCACTCCAATGCCCAGTTCTTCTCAATAGCTGCGTCAGAACAGCGGCAACATTAATGACAGGCATTTCACGTTCCCTAGCATTTCCAAGAAGTGTACAGGCAACAATTACAACACAAACTGTCTACTACGAACTAAGACACTTTCTTAAAATTGTCTACGACAGTAAAACCTGGTTTACGCGACCAACCCACGGTGCAAGCAAAAGCGGTCGTTCAAGCCAGGTGGTCTTTAGAACCAGGTCCCATACATTCGTGGCATATCGGATCGTGTACATACATGTGCATAATTGTACTTCCATGGACTTATATTGACAGGTGTGGAGCATAGAATACTTTCGTGCAGGCAAAGCACACCTCACTCAAGTGCATGCAGCGCATCCTGCACTGTCACTTCTGTTGACTGCATGGTTCAGAGCGCACTTCAGCCCTGCCAGCCAAGATGGCACTTTGGATAGTTTTGGTCGCTGTGTGCAGGTCCAATATGGCACTTGGTACACTAACAGTCGGTCGTTGAGCGCGCAAGGCAGGTGGTCACTGTGTTACTTCTGCTTTCTGCGTAGAACTGTCCGTGCATGGAAAAACGGTCGTTAAAAATCAGGTGGTCGTTAAAAAGCAGGTGGTCGTTAAAAAGCAGGTGGTCGCTTACACCAGGTTTTACTGTACTTGGAAGTAGTTATAGCAGCCACAGGTACACATACAGTAACACCTGTAACTAAAGACCACCGTGACTAGCGACCAGCCACGGGTACACATGGAGTAACACCTGTAACTAAAGACCACCGTGACTAGCGACCAGCCACGGGTACACATGGAGTAACACCTGTAACTAAAGACCACCGTGACTAGCCACCAGCCACGGGTACACATGGAGTAACACCTGTAACTAAAGACCACCTTGACTAGCCACCAGCCACGGGTACACATGGAGTAACACCTGTAACTAAAGACCACCGTGACTAGCGACCAGCCACGGGTACACATGGAGTAACACCTGTAACTAAAGACCACCGTGACTAGCCACCAGCCACGGGTACACATGGAGTAACACCTGTAACTAAAGACCACCGTGACTAGCGACCAGCCACGGGTACACATGGAGTAACACCTGTAACTAAAGACCACCGTGACTAGCCACCAGCCACGGGTACACATGGAGTAACACCTGTAACTAAAGACCACCTTGACTAGCGACCAGCCACGGGTACACATGGAGTAACACCTGTAACTAAAGACCACCGTGACTAGCCACCAGCCTGCTACTACACACCACTTTGCCAGGCACGGACGGTCTCACATTCAGATACGGTTGTGCGGTGCAAACCTCTAACTATTAAAGGACCACCTGCCACTAAAGACCGCTTTTTCTGGCCCCAAGGGATGGTCGTTAGTCACAGGTTCTACTGTGTTGCAATGCAAAGCACCCTGATCCCAGATAATTTTCCAAGCTAACCTTGACACGTCAAGACAAAGTCTTTGTCACTGCAAAGGTCTTGCCACTGCTCAACAGCCTGTACCAAGCGGTCCAATCACAGAGCAAAGCAGCAGAGCAACACACAGGACATTGAACACTGGACGTCAGGGAAGAGCAGCCCAATCAATCAGGAACAAAAACAACATTAATCTTGTGTTCCGTGTGATGACAAACGCACACACCTCCTGGGTGTATGCCTATACATTGTCATGTTGCTGCACACAAAATGCACTATGGGTCTGATCAAGAGTACATAACCTCCAAGAGTGTGCAACTCCACCATTGGGGCCTGTGATGGCAAAACTTCACATCATGTGCCGAACCCGTGCACATTATTAATATTCACACCCTGTTCATGATGGATGCAGGGTTGTACGCAACCCTGCTTTAGGTACAACTCTCTTGCGATCACTTTGCACTGTTTGCCAGCATAACCTTTCGAACCATGTCACGCGATGTGAAGTTCTGCCATCGCAGCACTGCATAGAGGTTGTGCAGGCAGTTGCACACTCTTGGGGGTTATGTACTCTTGGTCTGATTAAAACCCATTCACAGGGGCTACACTAGGTGCAGTGCAAAGCAAAATGCCTGCAACCAAATTAGCACAACGCGGTCAGACAATTATCAGAATGCGGCAAGGGGCACTTGCGCCATACCAGTCCAACATTGCGTTCCACTGGCACCTTCAATGTTCTACAATGTTGCTGTGGCATTGGGCACTCCACCGGTGCCTTGGCAGCAGTGCAGCAGTAGCCATTCCGGTCACCTATCCTTTCCATCATGACTGGCAAAGACCACACTACTATTCTGTGAACCCGATCAGTTCTTTTGTATGAGTGTGTGATAGGAGGTTGCGCCAGCTTGCAGCCAAGAACAGGATACTTCCAACACATCAACATGGCGCCTCAAATTGCTAGCCGTGTTCGCGTACATGAACACCTCTACACGACGTATACGATGCGCGGTGGTCCAGTGCCGGACGCACACGGGATACTGAAGCCGGGTGGCGTTTGTCACCGCGTGGTCTTAATCTACAGGGCATGAAGTCTTGCATGTCCCCCCCCCCCCCGTGATCTACGACTCTTGGTACATGTACATGTAATGTCTAGTTGCAGAAGACACTGCAACTGCTTGCACGTCATCACTTGGTCACGTGGCACATGCAAACAACCCAGCAAGCAAGCGAGAATGAGAAGTAAAGGTCACTGGTCCATGGCTCAGCGACACACCCACACCACAGCACATCTGCCAAAGGCCAGGATTAACCATACACATGCATACAGGCCTTACTTTGGTTGACCACTCAGCAGAATTAGATGTCGGCCGAATGTCATGGGCATGGCAGAGAGTAGCCTGAAAGGACCAAGACACACATGAAAGCACATCACACACACAAACAAAGCATGTATGATAGACTAGTCCTACGACGATGCTTGTGAGGATTGCACCCTGCCCCTCACTCAGGACATCATGACGACGACAACGGCAGCAACAACAACAACAACAACAACAACAACAACAACAACAACAACAACAACAACAACAACAACAACAACAACAACAACAACAACAACAACAACAACAACAACAACAACAACAACAACAACAACAACAACCACATTGGATAAGTGATGGGGAAATCAGCAGCATCATATCACAGTATCCTGGGCAGGTCTGTTCACTACTTACCAGAGCTGGTTTGCACTGAAATGACTCCGGCAGCTGACGGATTTGTGAAAACTGCACATTCTCGCTGTTGCCATAATCAATGTATTGCACGACGGCATCACTAAATGTCAGCTCTAACAGCAGCAGCAACAGCAACAAGCATGTGCACACACGCGTATGCACATGCACACACAAACATACACAAACACACAAACACACACACACACACACACACACACACACACACACACGCACGCATACATACACACACACGCATATGCACATGCAAAAAAGTAAAGTGAAGTCCACACGTTCGCGTTACCACCTGTTATACAATTGTGGCACAAGCCAAACTTCATAAGCACATGCATAACATGTACATACAAGCATAAGTTGCAGATGGTCAGACGGTACATTAGAAGGATGTGGCATGCTGGTGGCATACAGGAGGACTGACATTTCTGACTGCCTCTGCTCAAAAGACCTATGATCCCACGTTTTGCCAGTGATGTCAATGAATATTCACGTCGGGCAAATGCCGAAGAAACAAAATTGATCACGCCTTCAAAACAGCAGCAGCAGCAACACCAACAGCAGCAGAAACACCAATAGCAGCAGCAGCAACACCAACAGCAACAGCAGCAGCAGCAGCAGCAGCAGCAGCAGCAGCAGCAACACCAACAGCAACGGACAAACATAAATAAAGGGGAAAAAAGATGACCCATTCATCTCAGATGTTGTCACCATACCTTTGACAACTACACGATACCATTGCTGATCTTCGGAGTACAATGCACCATACATTCCACCTATCCAGAGGAACATAGATACCGGCACCAGAACAAACACACATGCACGCATGGACATACAAAACATGCACACAAAGGTATACCGGTAAGTTGCAGGTGGTCAGACGGTACATTAGAAGAAAGTGACATGCTGGCTGCATACAGGATATGAGGATTGACATTTCTGACTGCCTCTGCTCACAAGACCTATGACCCCATGTTTTGCCAGTGATGTCAATGAATATTCACGTAGGACAAATATTCGAAGAAACAAAATTGCTCGCGCATTTGCTTAGTGCAAGTATGTGTACATCTACAACTCGGCAGACCATGTACAGTGCTTTGCGTAGCTGCATGCACGCAAATGGACGAACTAAATCGACATGTATAAGGGCTTTATCGTAAAAATGTGATAATAATGTGGAGAAACAAAAAAAATCATTGTCCATCACATTACATTACACATGTCGATTCAGCTCGTCCTTTCGTTCGCAACTTTGACTGATAAATATAGTTTTTTCACCTTGTTTTGCATGCTCGAATGTTGTGTGCGCCTTGTGCACTACATGCAATACGTCACTGTGCTATGGATGTTGTATCAAGAGTACATGACCATATATGTACTCTTGGTTGTATGCGCTGTAGGCATGCTGTATGAACTTAGCGAGTGTCGCTTCGCTTGTTTCACTGCTGTTCGAGGCCTTCTTGTTCGCATTGTCCGTCAGAGACGGCTCACTCCCCTCGGCTGTGCCACCCCATACACACAGCCTGCCTCTTGAGTTCGTTGGTTTCTACAGTCCATTCATAAAAAAAGATGAGCGCTGGCTCTGGCGAGCTCCCGTATCTGGCCATTTTTCGTGATTTTTATCGTACACACAGCTAGTACAAGTGCAGTGCAGTGCAGCGGAATTTGAAGTTTGAAATAGGGTCCAAAAAGGTACCTCAGCTGGGGTTCGAACCGCACAATGCAGTGATGCAAGCGGAGTAAAACGGAATGGATTTTCATGACCTTTCCCAATTCCGTGCTTATAAGACAAAACCTGGCCGAAATCCTATTCTTGTTATGGCTTGCTGTTTGGAGAAATGGACTTCAGAAACATAACTGGAAGAGCATTCCATGGGGGATTGAAGAAAAAATTGTGAAAAAATCAAAAAACTCAAAATTTGACCCATCTATGCCCAAAAGCTAGGATATCATCTTTTTTCCGAATGGACTGCACACAGACACAACCCAGTGCCTCCTGGGGCAGTTGCTTTCTTCATGATCTAGATTTCTGCAGGCACTCTTCTCTCTCCACTTTTCAGCTCCCTGGCAGTTACTTGTTGTTTTTCTCCCGTTTCCCCTTTCTATTGCCGTAATACAGTTGTGGCAAGTGAAATCCGACACTTGGCATAAGGGACTGCACCATGCAGTGTGCAGCCCCTGGCCTAGGCCCTGCATACGTAGTACATGTGTTACAGACAACTGTTATCTTGTATCTGTCTCATGACAGTAATCGTAATCGTCACAGTCAAGGTTCACCTGCAAGGTTCAAAGGTGCTAGCAAAAATGAATGTGGACTGGATACCAATACTCTCTATGTGTACTGTGACTGTGAACTGTGTGTATCTACTCTGAGACCTTTCGACCTGTTTGGGATGCATACGGCTCTATTGTACGCATTTAGTACAGTGCATTACATCATTGATGTCCATTTGTGGCGCTGTCCCCTATGGCAAGTGTCGGATTTCACTTGCCACGACTGTACTTAAACAAAACAATGGGCTGTGTGTGTATGACATATGTGTATGCATGTTGGTGTGTCTGTGTCTCTCGCTTTACAAGAGTCTGAGTCATCATTAAAGGAGAAGCCGGCTCCAGTCTACTAATACTCAAGCTAATTGCTTACCTACTACTAATCTATCTGGAGAGGAAGAGCCCTTGCTAAAAGCAGCCTGCATGTCCAACATGGTGTTCTGGAGCATTTCACTCCAATCACCAGCCTGAACAAAGCAAAACAAGCAAGTGACAACACACATACACACACACACACACACACACACACACACACACACACACACATACACATACACACACACACGCACACACGCACACACACACACACACACACACATGCGCGCGCATGCACGCAAGCACACACGCCCACGCGCGCGCAGCGATGCCCAATCGTTTTAAATATCGGGGTCAAGGGAAATAAATTACGCTTTGGAGTGCATGTGCACTTGAAGCGAGCTCTGCAAGATGAAACTTCCAGAGAGCACAACTATTTGGTATTTGGCACTATTTACACATTAAAATTCGCATTCACCGCATCACCTCAGTGTGCAGATTATTGGCGTACAAGATGGTATAACTCTGCTTTCGGGAATCGCCTCGCACAATCCACAGTTCACAAGTAATGCCAGTGAGAAGAGACTACAATAGCACACCATTCAACGCCTCCTCAAGGTGAGACAGTGGCCATGTGGACTACAAGCTATCATCTTCATGCGGAATCCATAGCAGTTACAGTTACCAAACCCAAAGAAACTGTGTTTTGCAGCCTGGCCAACTCTTCTCCATCCTGCTCAACTCTGCACAAAACACTACCCAGGCTACACTGCTAACAAAGCGCACAAAACTTAGCAGAGTTGGATTCTCAGCCCAGACCAATCATGTCCCACCAGGTGTAATGTGCGCTATATCTTCTGTAGTATAAAGTGGCAAACACTAGGTAGGCTGTGGCCCATAGCTAGCAGCTGATTGGTAGTGGCCCATAGCAGCTGATTGGTAGTGGCCCATAGCAGCTGATTGGTAGTGGCCCATAGCAGCTGATTGGTAGTGGGCCATAGCAGCTGATTGGTAGTGGGCCATAGCAGCTGATTGGTAGTGGCCCATTGCAGCTGATTGGTAGTGGGCCATAGCAGCTGATTGGTAGTTGCCATAGCAGCTGATTGGTAGTGGGCCATAGCAGCTGATTGGTAGTGGGCCATAGCAGCTGATTGGTAGTGGGCCATAGCAGCTGATTGGTAGTGGGCCATAGCAGCTGATTGGTAGTGGGCCATAGCAGCTGATTGGTAGTGGGCCATAGCAGCTGATTGGTAGTGGGCCATAGCAGCTGATTGGTAGTTGCCATAGCAGCTGATTGGTAGTTGCCATAGCAGCTGATTGGTAGTGGGCCATAGCAGCTGATTGGTAGTTGCCATAGCAGCTGATTGGTAGTTGCCATAGCAGCTGATTGGTAGTGGGCCATAGCAGCTGATTGGTAGTTGCCATAGCAGCTGATTGGTAGTTGCCATAGCAGCTGATTGGTAGTTGCCATAGCAGCTGATTGGTAGTTGCCATAGCAGCTGATTGGTAGTGGGCCATAGCAGCTGATTGGTAGTTGCCATAGCAGCTGATTGGTAGTTGCCATAGCAGCTGATTGGTAGTTGCCATAGCAGCTGATTGGTAGTTGCCATAGCAGCTGATTGGTAGTTGCCATTGCAGCTGATTGGTAGTGGCCCATTGCAGCTGATTGGTAGTGGGCCATAGCAGCTGATTGGTAGTTGCCATAGCAGCTGATTGGTAGTGGGCCATAGCAGCTGATTGGTAGTGGGCCATAGCAGCTGATTGGTAGTGGGCCATAGCAGCTGATTGGTAGTGGGCCATAGCAGCTGATTGGTAGTGGGCCATAGTAGCTGATTGGTAGTGGGCCATAGCAGCTGATTGGTAGTGGGCCATAGCAGCTGATTGGTAGTTGCCATAGCAGCTGATTGGTAGTTGCCATAGCAGCTGATTGGTAGTGGGCCATAGCAGCTGATTGGTAGTTGCCATAGCAGCTGATTGGTAGTTGCCATAGCAGCTGATTGGTAGTGGGCCATAGCAGCTGATTGGTAGTTGCCATAGCAGCTGATTGGTAGTTGCCATAGCAGCTGATTGGTAGTTGCCATAGCAGCTGATTGGTAGTTGCCATAGCAGCTGATTGGTAGTGGGCCATAGCAGCTGATTGGTAGTTGCCATAGCAGCTGATTGGTAGTTGCCATAGCAGCTGATTGGTAGTTGCCATAGCAGCTGATTGGTAGTTGCCATAGCAGCTGTGCTATATGACATACTAGTACATGTACGTCTACTGAACAATATAATACTCTGGCAAAGCGTGCAAGTCATGTGTAAAATGTCTTCAAAGACGCACACGCACGCACACACGCACATGCACGTACACACACGCAGTACACTAGCAGTACATGGTATTTGCAAGCCTTGCTTGATAGTTCAACATGTTCTCACGATGACAGCAGGAACACTATTTTCCATACAGTGTGTCCTCTGCCTTGTACCAATAGTTACATGCTGTCATCGTGAAAACATGCTGTCACAGCAGCAGTACATGTACTACATACCTGCTGCACATAAAACTCTGCAGGACTGACACAGTGGCTGACTGTCACATCCACAAACCCTTCGACAATCTCCACCATGTTGACATCTGCACACAGGAGATATCAATAACAGAAAGAACAATGCCAACACCAAGTTTAATATTAGAGAGGTTCTGCATTTCGAATCACGGGGTATTTTCTTTCTTTTTCGACTAATGGGTTCTGGAGTTAGCAGAGCAGTCGAACTTTCGGGGAAGTCGAACGGAAAGAAGCAGTCGAGTCGAAAAGCATTTTCCGTTTCTGGTTAGATTTTTACATTTACGATTATACGTGCACACACCATTTTAGTTGCCAATAGTAACCACGTAGCAAGCAGCTTGTACAGGTTATGAGAAGTCGAAAAGAACTTTTTTGAATTGCAAAACAGCTTGCAAACTGAAATTTGGAACCTCCAAATTCAACTCGGGACAGTCGGAAAACATTTCGAAATACTCTATTGAATTAATTCCACAAACCCATGATATCCGCAACTAACACAATGCCCTGGATCTTTGAGAGAGAGAGAGAGAGAGAGAGAGAGAGAGAGAGAGAGAGAGAGAGAGAGAGAGAGAGAGAGAGAGAGAGAGAGAGAGAGAGAGAGAGAGAGAGAGAGAGAGAGAGAGAGAGAGAGAGAGAGAGAGAGAGAGAGAGAGAGAGAGAGAGAGAGAGAGAGAGAGAGAGAGAGAGAGAGAGAGAGAGAGAGAGAGAGAGAGAGAGAGAGAGAGAGAGAGAGAGAGAGAGAGAGAGAGAGAGAGAGAGAGAGAGAGAGAGAGAGAGAGAGAGAGAGAGAGAGAGAGAGAGAGAGAGAGAGAGAGAGAGAGAATAATGGCAACATTGGCACAGACCTGGTCTGGGAAGCGGTTGCGTTCCAGCAAACTTCTCTCTGACAAGAATGTCTCTCAGACCGACGGGTGAGCCTACTGGTCGTAGATCACCGTGGAGCACACCATTCGAATCAACAGCATACACCTAAACACACACACACACACACACACACACACACGCACGCACGCACGCACGCACGCACGCACGCACACACACACATACATACATGTACGCCGCAGCAGCAGCAGAAGCAGCAAGAAACTGCCATTAGCTCCCATGCACCACACTGGTAAGTGTGTCAACGATAAACATGTCTTGGAGCAATGGCAAGCAACAGCAAGATGAAACAACACTGCTTCCTGTTCAGTGTAGAAGCAAACACAGTAGAAAAACTCAAACTAGTAGTGCACAAATTACACTGTCACTCCGCTCAAACATCTGCAACCATTCTACTAGTCCTCGGCAGAGAGAAACAGTAACAGAATCGAGAAGATTACCTTGAATAGGGCGTGCTGCTCAAGAACGAGTTGCTCAACAAAGTCGAAAACTTTAGCCATGAACAATTCCGGCTGTGAATAGTGCACCAGACAATACAAAAATCACTCAAAACATTACTATCATCACCAGCAATAGTGGTACTTGGAAGTAGCAACACAAACAACAACAACAACACAGGCTCCAAGACAAGCAGTCATCTCGCAATCAGAATTCTACAGAATCACTGGATTTCACACACATGGACGAACGCACGAACGCACGAACGAACGAACGAACGCACACACACACACACACACACAGCGGCAGTATGCAATCGCCAATCATGCAGAGCGAACTCTGAACAGATCACACCCAACGTAGCGGGAGGAGAGATGATGATGAAATGCAAGTCAGGCAATGGCAGGTAGAATTATACTGAATTCATCATGTTCACCAGTCACAGTCAGAGGTCAATAGCAATCACTAGCTTTGCTAAGTATGCTAGTTGCATCAGGCAAGCTAGCTCCACAGGCCTGACCCCACACAAGATCTACCTAACAATTGCGAGAAGAATAACATACTCAGCTTAGAAGCCTTTAGAAGGACTGTAAAACATGAAATTTTAGGTGCATTAAAATTTCGGTGCCAGGGACCTGCCAGGTTTCAGGTGTATTGTAGAATTAGGTGATCAGCGTTCCCTTCACATACAGTGCATACTCTAGTGCCTTTTAGGTGTAATTTTAATTTTAATTTAGGTGCCTGGTTTCTCTACCGAAATCACCGAAATTAAATTTACACCGAAAATTACATGTTGTACTGTCAACTTGTACAGTATCCTGCATACATAAGCTTGCCGGAGTTGAAAATGGGAAAACTCGGAGGACAACAATTGACTGTCACCGCCAGGACTCAAACCAGAATACCGCTACGCTATGGTGTATTCGTCATCCGAGCAACGGCCGGTCAACATTCTCCTCAGACTTTCAAACTCACACTTCCTGTGAATCCCCACAGGCTGCTGGGACGCAACCCTCACGTACAAATTAGCACGCAGGGTGCAGTATTCTATAAGCATCTTGGATATCATACTTATTGCTTTGCATGAGATACAAAGTACTTTTTGGAAGACTGTAAGGCCCTATCCACACTACAGGTGTGAAACGTAGTAGCGTCCTCTTTCAAGGTGCGTGCAAGTGCACTTGCATCCACACTCGCAAGAACAGCCAGCGTGAAACGTGACTTTTGAGTGCCAGGTCTTGAAATTACCCCAAGCTCTGCAAGCAGCTTCCAGATCTATGTCGGCATCGCCGGAGTCTTCGCTCTGGAGCACCAGAGCCGGTGGCGGTGTGGCGGCGATATTTCTTGTACTGCTCCCTGGCCTTGGTACGTAGGTTGTCCAGCTTGTTGTGAACAATCGGCACTGTGATCTCATTCTGAAATTTATCGCCATACAGCTCGCGGCCGAATAAATTCAACTTCACGGCAATCTCCTTCTCCTTCACCGACCGCTTTTTTCATCGTCCCATTGCTCGCTTTCTGTTCTGCAGCCCACAGCTCAATGAGCTTTCCTTCCAGCTCTTCACAGAACACAACCCTCGGCATTTTCTCAAGATACTTCAACAAATACTTCAACAACTACATGTACCTACTTTCGAAACCCGGAAAAGCTACTTGAAAGTAAAAAGTGGCCTTGTATCGGGGTTCGGAAGTTGCTGATTACGTTCAAGCGGCTTTTTCACTTTCGCACCGTTTCCCACGGTTCTCCATGACAACTTACAAGGAAAAGTGACTTGTACGCGGTTTTTGTTGTAGTGTGGATACCGCCTAAGTATCCACTTCCAGTCAATAGGTATAATAATGGTACTCTTTATTTTCCGTCATAAATTCACCAAGCGAACAG